ACCTCTCCATTCAACCGTTGATTCAGTAGTTCCAAGATGTGTTTCAGCCACCTCAAGGATTTCAACCTTAGAGGGATCAGGAGCATGCCATTATGTTGGAGGAGGGAGTGGCGCCAAGTAGTGTACGAGCTTATCGCTACCCTCAATTCAATATGGATGAAATAGAAAGGTTGGTTATAGAGATTATAGAGGCAGAGATCATCAAACCTAGCATCAGTCCTTTCTCTAGCCCCATTCTGTTGGTGAAAAAGAAGGATGACAACTACAATTTGTGTTTGGACTAAAGAGCACTCAACAAGGAAACTATATCTGATAATTTTCCTATATGAGTCATTGATGAGCTGTTAAATGAATTGAGTGGGACCATGATCTTCAGCAAGATAGACTTGAAATCAGGTTACCATCAGATCCGACTGAATAAGGTGGATGTACACAAGATGGCCTTTAGAACTCATGAAGGACATTATGTGTTTCTAGTGAAGCCGTTTGGCCTCACCAATGCCCCTGCTACTTTCTAGGTTATGAATAAGGTTTTTAAACCTTATTTTAGACAATTTATTTTGATATTCTTTGCCAACATCTTGGTCTACAGTAGGATAAAGGAGAAGCACTGGGAGAATTTGAAAAGAGTATTAGAGGTATTATAGGAGCACCAGCTGAGGGAAAATTTAAAGAAATGCTACTTTGCACAAGCCAGTTTGGAGTACTTAGACCATGTGGTATCAATAGATGGGGTGGAAGCAGATCAATCCAAAATTGAGGCCATGCTAAAGAGGCCAGTGCTGAATAATCTGAAGGAATTGAGAGGATTTCTGAGACAAACAGGTTACTATAAGGAGGTTCATTAAGGGGTACAGCTCCATAGCTTGGCCACTCATTGAGTAGTTGAAGAATGACGGGTTCCTATTGGGGGAAGGCATCCACGTCAGCATTTGAGAGCTTGAAGAAGGTGATGACTGTAGTGTCAATCCTAGCATTATCAGATTTCACTCAAACCTTCATTGTGGAGACAGATGCATCCGGGTATAAGCTGGGTGCAGTGCTAATGCAGAGTCGTAGGCCCATTGCCTATTTTAGCCAGGTATTGACTTCTAAAGCCCGATTGAAATTTGTTTATGAGAGAGAATTAATGGCCATCATATTGGACATTTAGAAGTGGCGGCCCTACTTCCTTGGGAGACATTTTATTATCAGGACAAATCGACTGAGCTTGAAATACTTGCTAGAATAATGGATAGTTATAGAGGAGCATCAGAGGTGGAGATCGAAGTTGCTCGAGTAAGAATTTGAGATCTAGTATAGGCTTGGAGTGGAGGTGACTGCTTCCTTATCAAGATGCATGGGGGAGCTGCAGATAGTGGCACTATCTATTCTATTGATGCTAGACTGGGAGGCCTTCAGAGAGGAAAGTACTAGAGATGAAGGTTTGGAAAAGATTAGGTCAGATTGGAAGGGGATGCATAAAGATGTATTGGAGATGGTTGCCAGATATGAGATCTATCAAAGAAATAAGTACATAGCTATGTCACCAGGAGGACTACTATAGCCGTTAGCTCTACCAGGCAGAGTGCGGGAGGAGATATCTATGGATTTTATATATGGGTTGCCCTGATCAGAGGGGTTCATGGTGATCTTGGTGGTGGTGGATAGGTTGATCAGGTATGCACATTTAATTCCCCTACGACACCCCTACACAGTAATGACAGTGGTTACAGCTTTCATCATGGAGGTGGTCAGGTTACATGGAGTACCTAAGGCAATCATATTTGACAACGATAAGGTATTCCTCAACCATTTTTGGAGAGATTTGTTTAGACTACAGGGGGATGTTATGAAGTGGAGTACATCTTACCACCCACAAATGGATGGCCTGACGGAAGTAGTCAACATAAACTTGGAGACGTACCTGAGATACTTTGTGTCAGAGATACCCAAGATATAGGCTAAGTCTCTATCTTGGGCGAAGTACTAGTACAACATATCTTTTCATTTTGCTTCACAAATAACCCCATTCAAGGTGTTGTACGAGCGGGATCCCCCATACTTGGTGGACTTTGGGAGTAGCAGTTCTCCCATTTCTTCAGTTGAGGAATACTTGGAAGAGAGGCATTTAGTGCAAGAGGAGTCGAATAGGTATTTGTTAAGAGCTCGGTAAATTTTGAAGAAACAAGCAGATGGACTTAGGAAGGACATCTAGTTTGAAGAGGGGGAAAAGGTGTTCTTGAAACTCCGACCATATAGTGAGAGGACAATCGCCCACAGGATGAATGAAAAGCTGTCTCCAAGGTACTGTGGGACTTATGAAGTATTGGAGAAGAATGGGGCAGTGTCATATCGACTGAAATTACAAAAATCGGAGATGATACACCCAGTTTTTCATATCTCTAAGTTGAGGAATTCTAGTGGTGACAACACAGCCAACACCGAGCTACTAGCGACGCTTACTGAGGATTTAAAGGTGATTCTAGAACAGCTGATGGGAGTGTGCCAAAAAGATGATGGAACTAAGTAAGTGTTGATCCAGTGGAATAACCTTCCTGACTATGAAGCCATGTGGTAGCCAAATTAAACAGCAGTTTCCATATTTTCACCTTAATTACAAGGTGGTTCTTTGGGAGGGCGATAATGTTACGCCTGTGCTGGCTGAACTGGCATAGCCGGTTTAGCAATTCTACAGGAGGCTGTAGTAGTCCACGTCCTTCATCCCTTTTCCACCTATTAGGTGGGTCCTATCCATCAAATAGTTTTAAAAAGGGAAAGGGGTGGGGCAGCTTAAGCTTTGGAAGGGAAAATTAATTAGGAAATATTTTGTATTAAAGTACATGAGAGAATTATGGAGTTTTCATGTTTTGGTTGATTGTGAATTAGAGTTTCTTGGTGCTTGGGCTCTACACTCTCTCGTCTAGAGATTTGGGAGACACGATCCTCCTCTCAAATTGGGGATCACTTCTAACTTGCTCCGTGTGTGTTTTGCTTTGTTTCGATTATTGCAATCTATCATTTTAGGGCTGATTTCGCCCAGATTTTACTCTATTCTCCTGTTTTCTTTCAATTAGTGAGAAGTTTGCTTGCAAACTCAAGTATTC